CTGTGGTGTTTACCATTTGTTAATTGGTAAAAAAGGGTAAACTTAACTTGGAAGGTTTTGGCACGTAAGCCTTTGGAACGAAAGTGACCACAATATTTGAGAATCGTTTAAACAAAGAAAAATTCACTCTACATTGTAACGAATAAGAAAAAAAAAATGCTCGATTGTAAAAATGTTTTTCCAATTGGGAAAATGTTGTTGTTATCCTATCCCAAAAGTTTTAATATATGCGGAAGATATGCATTGCTTGCCCCAATTACCAAAGTTTCAGTTGAAGCTGTGAGAGACGGGATTTGTCAGTTTATTCAAAGGTTAAGAGTTGTTAACCTTTAGCCTCCCCTACCCCCCTCCCCCCACAATATAAAATGTGTTGCAAAGTTTAAACAAGTAGTTTATTCAGTAAGAAAATTTCCTTTACAACTACCAGGAAACATTTCAGCTTTCTTACGCGTCATAATTCAACTGATAAAATTTTACGATAGCGTTAGCCAAAGCATTTTGCAAAGCAACATTACGGTTCCACTCGAAACGAAGCTCTCTGGGTAGTTCCAGCTGAATGGCGTCAATGTTCCCTCCATCTTTGGATCCATGGACCCTGGTCGTATATCCTCCAGAGAAAAACTTTTCCCCGTTTGGATCCTCGTCAAGTGGTGAGGGTACAGCGGCCAGTCCTTCTTGATTCACGAAATATCCAAGACTTCGATTACCTTGAACGAAATCTTGAAAGCAAGCATTGTTGCTTCCGCACCAGTATTCCCCAAGGTTTCTGATAGAAGTGCCCACTACATTGTAGGATTTCTGCACGAGTTTGGATTTCGAAATGAGATATCCCAGCTCCGTCCTCGGAGGTTGGTGTGTTTGGCCGTGGATGTCTAAGAGAAAGCCACGCCCAGAACCACTCCCTGAAATGGCCAATTTTGCTTGGCTGATGAAGTTAGCGTAATCGTTATAGGCGGTAATGGCGTCTGGAACATTCAAAGTCGCTTCATTGATTTCTCTGTTGGCGTCCAGCTTTGACCTCTTCAGCAAGTTGTATACAACATGTGGCCGAGTACCTATTGAAACGAATTGCAAAAAAACATCGTTAACAATGAACGTTTATAGGGAAATGAAATGAAGTATATAACTCTCTTGGTTTGAGTTTTGGATCCTTTACATATTATTTTCTTTATAAAGATAGAATGGACCAAGAGGACTTGTTCGCATGGGTGCACGCAACGATGGTTTTAAAACGTCTACACTCGAGTCAAGTGGCCCATCAGGCCGAAACTAATTGACCCCAAACGGCTTTTGAACAGAGAAATATAGAAACCTGGATTATAATTTAGCCCTGGGTTAGCGCCAATCTTAGAACAACTGGGCCTCGGATTTTCAGTGCACTAACCGGAAGGCTACCGCACCAACCAGAAGGCCACTGCGCCTACCACAGTCAAATAAAAAAATGTTCAACATAAACAATCTACTGAACAAAATATATAATAGGGAAGAACATAAGATCATTAATACTGCACGCGAAAAGGTTGTTTTTACCTCGGACGTTGTTAAACAATTTAGGTCGTTTGTTCTACTGTAGAACGAATCAACTCGACCACTTAGTATGTTGTACTAATACTGACTGTTTCGACTCCAGTGTTACACGCAGCATTTATTTATGTACAATACCGCATCTTCTATTGGTTTACTGACGTAATAACCCGCACAGGATGTTAGGAGAACAGAAGGAAAATTCACAAATCACGAGCCGGAGGCGAGATCTTGTTGGTAATTCTTACCTCTAAGCTGCTACACATTTCATTATTAATTAAACATAAGAATTTGGTGTTAAATGAAGATAAAAGCTTGTACCTGATGAGTTTGAATATTCTTCATTATTACACGACTCGAGCAGTCAGAGGGCCAATAACTAAAATCAACCAATCAAAATGCTCTATTTCCGGTCAATATTCTCTCAGTATTGGACCGGGCACTGTCCCGAATGGTCCCGAATGATACCGCACTTGTGTCCCTTCGAACTTCAGTCGTATAATAAATCTCTTATTAACCAAGCTTGCTCGGGACCGTACTGGAAGAATATCGGCCCTCGGTCTTTTTTGTACGGACCTCGCTGCGCTCGGTCCGTACTGTCAAGACCTCGGGCCGATATTCTCCCAGTACGGCCCTCGCGCTTGGTTAATAAGATATATATATTACCTGTTTTGTTGGATGATGCATGGCTATCATGGGGAGAGTACAAGTTATTACTTCTGAAAGTAAAGAACCGATAGAAAGTGCAGTCTATTGCTCTTGTAAAATAACCTTCAATTTTTTGTGGGTTTACTGGTGCAATAAACGATAGGTTTTTGACTAATCAAGGTGCTCAAAGGATCTCGTATATCTTGTAGAGAACTGATATTCCGTCTAAATAAAAGAGCAATAACAATATTTTAAACTTACTTCCCTCTGTAATGTCTCTGATTTTATCTGCAAGATCTCGGGCGATCGTTTTCGTGAACGAATCTCTGACTGTTCTAGCGGAACATTTTGAAGAGGTGGGAGAGCAGGAGTGTGTATAGATGCACNAGTCAGAGGGCCAATAACTAAAATCAACCAATCAAAATGCTCTATTGCCGGTCAATATTCTCTCAGTATTGGACCGGGCACTGTCCCGAATGGTCCCGAATGATACCGCACTTGTGTCCCTTCGAACTTCAGTCGTATAATAAATCTCTTATTAACCAAGCTTGCTCGGGACCTTACTGGAAGAATATTGGCCCTCGTCTTTTTTGTACGGACCTCGCTGCGCTCGGTCCGTACAGTCAAGACCTCGAGCCGATATTCTCCCAGTACGGCCCTCGCGCTTGGTTAATAAGATATATATATTACCTGTTTTGTTGGATGATGCATGGCTATCATGGGGAGAGTACAAGTTATTACTTCTGAAAGTAAAGAACCGATAGAAAGTGCAGTCTATTGCTCTTGTAAAATAACCTTCAATTTTTTGTGGGTTTACTGGTGCAATAAACGATAGGTTTTTGACTAATCAAGGTGCTCAAAGGATCTCGTATATCTTGTAGAGAACTGATATTCCGTCTAAATAAAAGAGCAATAACAATATTTTAAACTTACTTCCCTCTGTAATGTCTCTGATTTTATCTGCAAGATCTCGGGCGATCGTTTTCGTGAACGAATCTCTGACTGTTCTAGCGGAACATTTTGAAGAGGTGGGAGAGCAGGAGTGTGTATAGATGCACGTCCCGGACGCATCTTTACAGCCGTTCTTCCTATCCGGCCAGTCGTCACCATTAGCCTGACTTGAAGGAGTCAGACCACCCCCGTGAGGAGCAGTTATGATGATGTTAATGTCACCGGGTTCATATTTGGTATACCCCTGAAAGCCAAGTTGCGTTTCTCCACAGATTCCAGTCAAAAAAGTACCGGCGCAGAACAGCAGGTAGTACACAGCCATCATCTGTACAATGTTCAGTTTGCAGAGTTTTAACTCTTTAATTGCATTAATTGAGAATAACTAAATACATATTTCTCTGGCAGCCTAGCGAATGAATTGAGTAGTAGAGATATTGAAAGGCCTATCAGCAAATGTACCCTGCACCAATGTACGTCAGTTCGTGCGAGCTCTTCCAGTATTGTACTTATTGACTTCAACACGTTAAATGTCTTCTAGAACTGCCTAGAAATACGAAAAGTGTCTCTCTGCATGAGAAGTTGGTGTACCATTGAAATTGAACGGTGATAAAAAATGTATCTCTCTCAGTAGGAAATACAATACTTGCATCCCGGTTAGCTCAATTGGTTGAGCGTGGGACTTTTGTGCAGGAGGTCGAGGGTTCAAGCCCCGGCCTGACCAACAGTCAGGGTCTTAAAGTAACTGTGGTGAATGTGCTACCTTCCTATAATATCAAGAAATGGATAGATATTCTAGTCTTCTCGGATAAGTACGAATAAACCGTAGGTCCCGTCTCCTGCAGGGTTAGGGGTAGGAGATGTTAATTTCTCACGCACGAGATTACTGTGTGGTGGTTGTCCTCCCCTGGGATGGAATGGGTGGGTATATCTGCTGAAGATGGGTTGTATTGCCCTTTGCAGATTAGACATTTAGATTTAGATTTAGAAGCTTGGATTAATGTTATACGGTTCGTGCTCGTCGTCTGAGCTGACCAGTTTTGAGTAAGGAAACACTGAAAATAATTCATCGATGTTTTTCAGCTCACGTACGCGGCTAAAGGGGCTAATGAAAAATTTACTTTGCACAGAGACGCACTGGGAAGTAATGAATATAAAATCATATGAAAAAATTCTTAAAAATCGAAGAATGAGTATTGCGTATTGCCGACTTGTCTATACAGAGAGTATATGTCAATAGGAAATTAATTGGCAGCGCTTTATTACTAGAACAGTGATTTGACGAGAGAGAATAATTTCTATGTATCAGCATAATTATTGAAATCTACCTTCAGGATTCGATAGTTGTAAAGGCAAAAGTTTGCCGCGTTAAAGTTGCCTCTGCACATAAGCTTTTATCTTTAGGACATGGCAAAATTGCCAAGTAGAAGGCAGTGAAACTGTGTTTTGGTTCCTTTCTTATTCGGAAGGTAAGACCGTATACGGTTTCGAGTAGTTTAAACGTCAAGAAAGTCATATCAAGAAACACTTAGCAAGGGGCTAAAAAACTCCTAAGATGGTATCACCAATATTATGTAACATGGGAAAATTCACCTGGTAGGTACCAAGTGTTATCGAGGTAATTCACTTAAGGTTGTATTAACTCCTCCAAAATAAACCAAATAAAGTAAACTTTCCGTTTCGAAAATTTTAAGGACTCCAACCTTCCTAGGAACAACAAATTCCGCGTGATACTTCACTGTTGATCCTTAAAAAGGACTGATGAAAATTGGGTTCAGCTAAGTCGTAAGGTGTATTTTTAAGTCAGCCAAAGAAGGAACAGAAAATTTGAAAATGAACTCGGTCAATACTTACGATTTAATCTCTTGACAGTCAATCTGACTCCCTTTTTCTGTTCCTCAATCGGCTGCCTGACCTTGGTTTTACTAATGTGTACGGAGTACAGTTGAAGATTGTCCCGCCAAAAGCACATTTATAGCCTTTTTTGTTGTACGTGCTTCACATGATCATGCAGTTTCCTAGCAACTGCTATTGACGACCAACCACTTGACAGATTTCCACTGCTTATCGTGGATTAACCACATTTATATTCAGCTAATTGTAATTAAGGAAAATGCAATCTGCTTCCTGATAAAGCTCATTGAAAAAGACCCGCAAGGTCTAATATAATGAATTATACAACCACTGCCAAGACGACGCACCTCCACGAAAAATGTAACACAAGTGTTGCCTCTCAAGGTTATACGCAACATTAGTTTTCCAATAGAAAATTGAAAATATCGATTCTCGACAACCTGCAAACTACGTGAAGCCAAAGGTAATCAGAAAGGGGGTAAGTGTCTACAGAAACTATGGTGCTACGTTGGTGAGGGTAACCAGGTAATTTGGTTATATCAACAGAGCTGAAATTGCAAAGTGGCCACCGTAAAGAGTTAAAAGGCTGACGTTTCGAGCGTTAGCCCTTCATCAGAGCGAATGACGAATGGCTAACGCTCGAAACGTCAGTTGATAGAACCAAATTATAAACGGTAATCACTTTGAGAGGCCCAGAAAGATCATCAGAGGGGCTTAATAAGCTTTATAAGAGGGCCTTTTTTATCAGAATCTGTTAGAAAAATAAAGTGGGCCTTGCAGAGTTCATTTAGGGGCAACACGAAGAGAAATGAAGCGATAGAAAAATTTATATTGATCTCTTTACGAATGTTTCAATGCCATGGATACTAACAAACTCGTTGAAAATCAAGTGAAGCACGCAAAGTGAATTCACGACAAGCATTTCCGTCGCTAAGCAAAAATTTAAGTGTCTTTTAATTAATGAGCCTCTAGTCTGGTGGTCTTTGGATACTATCAAACTAGTTAAAAGGCAGTTATCGAAAAAAATCAAGCGAAGGATAGTGCCGTGATTTGCGATGTAAACAATATTTCCTACACTATGGGAATATGAACAACGTTCTACTCTTTTGATGAACTGATTGTCAACCTCTGGATGTGATCTTGCTATGATCGTTTGCAGTTTTGGGCAGAAAAAAAAAAAATCAAGTGAACTCCCGATACTATAGAAAAGTATAAGGTCGTAGTAGTAGCAAGTAGGATAAATATTGTAAGAAATATACAACTTTTTTTAGAGACATGTTTCGGCATGCATATGCCATCTTCAATCAATGAGTATTAAACGTGAGTAATTATATAACAGACAAGTAGATGAATAAAATATTTACAGTATGACGCAATACAAAAGCGGGTCAATTGAGTTGTTGGTAGAATCCAGAATACTAAAGCAAGAAAGGGAGTATTTGTTCTTACAAGAAGGAGATGTGTTAAAATGCTTTACAAAAGCGCTTAGTGAGTTCGACGAGTTTAAGGTTCGCTACTTTAGAATAATAGGGACTTTAAGCAAACCACGACGGCTACGGCAACGAGAACGTGGAAAAACAACAGATCTATTTGGCAGAACAATAACCCAGCACGTGCATTTTCAAACTTTGTACATTTCTTAGCCGTCCTTTGCAAAACAACAACGTGAAATCACCAAAATTTGCGTCGTCTGTGAAGCTAAACCGCGGCGGCAAGTTATTTCAATTTACATTTGGAACTCAACGCTACTTTTATGCGTCATGTTGAGTTTGAGGTCTGGCGCCCTATGAGACGGTACGCACATCCAGCCGTTTTCGAAATTCTAACTAAAAGTAGAAACTCATTTTTTTGATCGACGTCTTCCGTGGCGTTGCCGTCCTGACTGCTTAAAGTCCCTAATCTCGCCTCCTGAAACCGCGAAACAATGGGAAGACGGGACCTCCTGGCGTCACGTTTTTTTTTTTTTTTATATCTCGCTCTGTTGAAAGTTGAGTAATGGAAAAAAATTGGCAAAGAAAAGACCCGCGGC